TTGTTTATATATATACACGCAAAGGAGGTAGCTTGAGATAGAAATTGGATACACATTTTAGGAAAAAACTGGCAACTTCTGGGGGAGAAAACAGGAGCTAAATACTTTTGTTGTTGTGATGGATGATATAGTTTAAGGTTTTTATTATTTTTTTAATTTCAAGATTTTCATGTCATTTTGATACTTGTTTATTAATTATTGTGTATTTAATGTTTCGATTGACTGCGCAACAATTAATTAATTTATGGATAATATTGAGATCGAGAGGTGATTTATAATTCTAACTTGAGATAATTATTAGCTATGTATCTATTTTGAATTCCTATAAATTAAAGCGTTCATGTGTGTGAATTTACATAGAGATATAGTAAGTTCGGGTATATGAATAGGATTAGTGTTGCTTGAGAGATCACTAAATACAATATGTTAATTCGATTGTTAGCGGGTATGAAAAGATAGCTGAATGAATTAGAAAAATGTATGTTAAATAACCAAAGTGAAATTGGAAATCCTAACTATCCAATCACATAATCTTATCTACAGTTTTAATTTGAGTTTGTTATTTTATTTATTAGAATTTCGTTTAGAAAACACAATTTGATATGATCATTAGTTACCAGTTTAATTTAAATTAAAATTAAGTTAGTTTAAAACTTTATAGTAGGTAGTAGTCTCTGCGGAACGATATATGGATTTGATAAATTCACTGTATTACTTGTCATGATCCGTACACTTACGGAATCTCACGAACACTCAACTCGATTTGTTGGTTTGGATCAAAATTGTTGAGCTCGACTTGATTAATTACCCACGACTCGGTAAGGGCAACTAGACACGAGAGGAGGAACAATGAGTGAAGTTATTATATGATCGAGCACATTTCATCCTAACAAATATTTTGTTAATTAGCCCTTGTTCGATAATTAGAGTCAAGATTTTAATCTAAATCAAAGTCGACAATAAATTAACTATACATTTCATGGAATCTACAACGTTTCAACCATACATTTCATATACTTTGATCAAAATCTACTAAAAAATCGATTTTAATCTCCACCAAGCAGGAGCTTAGAATGCATGCATGCATGGAACAGTAAAATATAATTAATTATTACGAAGAAGAAAATAGGAATATACAATGGTATTCTTTAAACTTCCAACTTAAAACACAAAAAAAAATTATAAGGAAAAAAAAAAATTCTAAATACACAGAAAATTAATTATTTAAACTCTACTCTGAATTGTTTCGTCTTCGGCTGCGCATTCGAGCTCCCCAAGACATTCTTCCTCCTGAATCCTTTTTCCTTTCCTTCAATTCACTTAGTTGAGATTGCCACCTCATTTTCCACTCCCTTCTCTCGTCCCATCTCTGTTTTTTGAATTAAAAAAAAAAAGAGAAATTAATTCAATATTCTTAACTCGTGAATGGATTATCAAAGAATATTAATGAACTTGAGAAAAAAATTGTGGAAAGGAGATTTACCTGGTGATGTTCATATCCTCTTCCAGAAGAAAAATTGAAGCCCGATCCGTTAGCTAAATCTTGATCATACAAAGCTCTGGTGTGTGGATCAGAAAGGGTTTCATAGGCCTCTTTAACCAGTTTAAATCTCCTGGTGTATTCATCAACTCGTTCTGGTGGAGACACATCAGGATGATATTTTCTTGCCATTTGTTTATAAGCTTTCTTTATATCAGAAATTGTTCCACTCTCTTTAATTCCCAACACATCATAGAAACTGTCTGTGCTTTGCTTTGAAGCGTAAAATGCCTTAAAATTGGCCCTGCTGGCTGGGTTTCTCTGAATCCCAGATGGAGTTTTGAATTGAATCCAATGATCTGTCAACTGGGAACGAAAGGAAATAATTGAAACATTTTCAGTAAGGCAATTTTTCGTGGGTTTGATGGGTTTTGAGCAGAAATGAAAGCGAGTTTCGGAACCTGAAACCACTGCGCAACTCATTCTTCTGGTTTTGGTAATAGCTCACAAATCAAAACTCAGATGAAACTTCTTGTTCTCTAATTCCTTGCCTTTGAGTGTCTCTGTGTGTGTGTGTGTGTTTTTATATAGATGAGTGCGAAACAACTTGGCGCTTTACAGTTGTACACGAGTTTGCAAGAGGGTTCCATGTTATACTTTTCTTTCGCATGTCGGCACGATTTCCTGGCAATGGCGGTGGGCTTGGGACATGGGTACAAACTTGTCTTATTGAGATAAAGGTTTTGTCACTTTGACATAAAATTTTAACAGATGTTTTGAAATAATTTGAGATGGCAAAAGATGATTTGATAGGAAAACTAACTATATTTAAAACAGTCCAATAATATAATATTACATGGCATTATGTCAAATTTTATGTTAAAACATCTGGCATTATAGCATGATTCTTGAGAAAATTAAACACGGGATTCACATTCAACCTCTCGAAGAGGAGCCACTGCCTACATGCTGGTAGATAAGAGCATTACTTGCCAAATTTGACATCTTTTTTCCTGCATGGACCACTTTTTGGATTATTAATAATTCAAGATTTAGACTTTGTTCAACGAGTTGAATTTTGGTAAAGGAACAATCATGTTACATGTACATCATATTTGATATCATTGTTTACATAAATTAATCTACTTATACATTATTTTTATACATCAAGTTTGACACTCCCTATGGATAAGAAATTTGGCCAATGATTTGAATGAATGTGTGTCGCATCAAATGGTGTCAAACAAATTGTCAAACTTAACGTACATGTAGCAAAGTCGTATATAAAAAGAAATAATCATGCTAAATGTACATCTATGTTGACATTAAGTTTGACATTGTTGTGAGATAATTACAATTTTTTACACATTAATTTTAACAATACTTTAAATAATTAATGAGAAAATTTTTGACAACATATAAAGTGTCAAACTTAGCTCCTGTTTGAGCCACATTATATTTTCATTCATATTCTTCCACTCATTTTCAACCACACATTCTTCAATAAAATAATATTTTTTATTACATCAATAACTTTTTCGTCTTTTTCAACCACACATTCTCCCCCACATTAATAAAAAAAATACATTTTTGGAGCAAAAAAGTGCACCAAACAGGGCCTTAATATGCATCAAAGTGGGCCGAACTAGTTTAATCCAAAAAGAAATGGACCTGGGCCCCTTTCGATGTGCCATTCTGACCCCAAATAATTCATATATCCATCATTTTTACTATTTATGATGTAAGCAGTGATGCCATAGATTATAACAAATTTTCATGTAAATAATAATAATTTCTATAATTTCAATAAAATTGGTTTAATATAGATTAAGAATTAAAACAACTTTTGATATGATTTAAGTTTCGGAAAATGATGTCTGAGTCTCATATCTGATTTATTAACGAAAATTCAATTGGAACAAGATATAATAGATTAGATTAGATTTGAACGATCATACTCGTTAGCTAAACCAAACAAGGGCTTTATATTAGCAAGTGCAACAAATTAAATCTTACTATTATGGTAGAATATGAATGGTCTTTGTCCTTCGTTCGGCAACACTTGCTAAGTCTGTTTGGCAACTCTCGTTAAAACTCAAATCACTTTTTATTCATATATTTTATCAAACTCATGAGTACAGTCTACTTATTTTTATCTATTTATAAACACTTGTCAATATATGCTAATAGTTTGAACGAAAATGTTCAAAGCATGCCCATTTGTAGATGTGCACAAGTTTCTTAGTGACGGTTCTTTCCAAATTTGAGAACCATAAGTAAAATTCTGTTCAAGGGCAAAATAAGAGTTCCCACCGCGCAGGGAGAACATGAGTGAGTTCGAAAGCATATAAGATTGTACACACTAATTGTCTGATTAAAATATAACTCAGAGATGAAATACATGCATGGGAATGGAACTTAAGTAAGAAGAACAACATTGGAAGAAAATAAAAATAAATCCCACAGTTTAATCTTCTGAATTCTTTCATCTTCATCTTCGGCTGCGCATTCGAGCTCCCCAAGACATTCTTCCTTCCGAATCCCTTCTCCTTAGCTTCAATTCATCCAGTTGTGATTGCCAGCTCTCTTTCCATTCCCCATATCTCTGTTAAAAAAAAAAAGAGCACAAGAAATTAATTCCATTTTTATCACAATATCCATAAGTAATGAATGGAAGATCAAACGAAAGAGATTTACTTGTTTATATTCACATCCTCTTCCAGCTGAGAAATTAAAGCCCAATCCATTAGCTAAATCTTGATCATACAAAGCTCTGGTGTGTGGATCAGAAAGGGTTTCATATGCCTCCTTAACCAGTATAAATCTCCTGGTGTTTTCATCAACGCGGTCTGGTGGAGACACATCAGGATGATATTTTCTTGCCATTTGTTTATAAGCTTTCTTTATATCAGAAATTGTTCCACTCTCTTCAATTCCCAACACATTGTAGAAACTTTCTGTCTTATACAACGCCTCAAAACTGGACCTGAAATGGGCTCTGGAAGTTCTTCTCCCCCGTGGAGTTTTGATTGGAAATCTGGAATTTGTCAACTGGGAACTAAAGGAAATGTTAGAATAACTTTCAAGGATGCAATTTTTGGTTTGTCTGTTGGGTGTTGAGGAGAAACGAAACCGGGTTTCGGAACCTGAAACCACTGCACAGCTCATTCTTTTGCTTTTCTTTTTTGAGATATTAGGTTTGCCTCTGGAGTTTTCGTCTTCAATGAATCCTTACCTTTGAGTGTATCTCTCTCTGCATGTGTGTATATATATGTAAATTCGAAATTTGGCGTATATAATTCTGGGTGAGATGTTTCCAAAAAAATAAGAATGAACTTTCCATATTTTATTTTTCTTTCTTTAAGTGTTTGGTCCATAGACTCCCGACGGTGAGTTCTTGGTTCTTTCTTTCCATCACATTGCTTTCACAATTCAGAGTTTTCGATTTTTTCAATGAAATTTTACCAGTTGTTTGACCTCATTTTCTGAAATTAATTTTCAATTTCACATTTTTCAACAAAATAAATTTTCACGTAATGTTTTTACTTTTTGAATCTCTATTCATTTGATAATAATAATGAAAATTATCATGGAAAGTTGATAAAAATTATGAATTTTATAAAATATTTGATTAAAAACGAGGTTTAAAAATTGGTGCTAAAGAAAGGTTTAATTTCGTTTCACTTTAACGAAAATTCTTCTTTAACTAAAAAATCAGAGTCAAGCCCATCGGTTGTCCTAAGGCAGCCCCAGTTTGACGTCGGCCACCCAAAATTTTATGGTTTTGTTTGATTGAATGGAGCCTAGGGAAACTAGGACAGTCACGTAAATTATAAAATAATATATTGGATACAAAATACAGGTTATTTCGCCCTGCGTCATCCCTCTGTCGCCTGTGAGGGAGTTGTGTACCAACTTCCATGTACAAGTAGTATTTCCCTTTTGCCCTTGTTTGAGATTATTTTTTGGGAAAAATGTATGTTTTAATAGTGATTTTTTTTAGAAAATTATGATTAAGAAGTATGTAAAAAGTTTTTGATTTACATATAAAATTATTTTATGAGAGAATATTTGATTAAAAATGAGTTTTGAACAATTGAATTTTTGTAAAGATGGGCTCAATCGTTCATTTCATTTCATTTCTTTAGTGTTTAGCTTTTATTTCTTAAATCTTATTTATTTTTCTTAAATTCATTTTCGATTCCACATTTAATATGACACACAATTTTTATTATCTTTTTAACTATTCATTTTATTAACTTCTATCAAAAAATATATATAAAAAATATTTTTATCAAAACCAAACTGTTTTCGAACCCTGGACCTATTATAAAGAAAGCGTGCTTCCAAAATTTTAATATGGTTTTGCTGGATTGTTGACACCTGTCGTGTTGATCACTGTTGGATCACATTCTAGAGGCTTCTAATTTATATCTTCCAAGTGACGCTTTGTTTGGGGCTCTTGGATTCCTTTTCTAGGTTCATATATTCTTCTGCCTTCTAGAGAGAGAAAACCTCATTCTTCATTAGGGTTTCACATTCTTGTGTAAATGTTAGAATCTCTTAGATACACTCCTGATTGTAAGGAAGTGATGTATTTTCTGAGTGATTTGTGTAATGAATCTAAGTGATTCGTGTGATTTGTGAAGTTTGTGACAGAACTGAGTGCTCTGTCGTGATTCTTGGCTAGAGGGTGTGTGCAATCCAATGTCTTTTGTAAAGATAAGTCTCTGCGGCTTCATCTTGTATTTTGAACTAATTATAGTCTTTGGCTACCATGCTTTTTGGCTGTTAGTGTAACCGAGCCGATATCCATTATTTGGATACTAAACAGGGGATGTAGACGTTGGATGTGGTCGCCGAACCTCCGGAGCTTAGGCCGAAGTAATTCTTTGAGTTCAATCTTTAATTTTCTCAAAGTTTCTATTTTGATCGATTAATGTTTGGAGAAATCTTGTTTTAATATCGTGTATTGTTGGCATTTTTAGTGGTATTAGAGCCTAAACTGAGAATAAGATACCTGGATCTTTGTAGAAAGAGTTCGATATGTTTCAGATCAAAAAATTTTGGAACTGCTGCTAAGCAAATCATAAAGATATTGAGTTTTTATAAACTCACCGGGTGAGATCTTTTATTTTTGTAAAGTTTTCTTTTTCAAAAATTAGGGTTTCTCGATTTTTCCTTGATCTACCATATACTGAAATCCCATGGAGACTAATCTTTGTCCATAGACTTCTACAAGGTCTTGAGATTTTGAGATAGTATGTGTGTGTATCTGGAGGATCTTGCAGGAGAAGTCTATGAAACATAGACTTTCGATCTCTATTGTGTTCTTTGTTTGTGTTTGCTCTGCATGTTTCTTTGATTGTGATTGAAACCTGAAAATCTTGTATTACTAAGTGTACTACTGCGATTTTAAAACTGCAGTGTTTGTGAGTCCCTGTCTGTGCTTTGCTAATATCTTGAACTCCTATTTGTGTATCATCATTTTATGTCTGTGCTTTGCTTTGCAATTTAAAAAAAAAAAACTCTCGAGTTTTAGGTCACTTATAGTACATATAATTTTATTTTTGATTTATACAAATTTTTTATTTGAATTACAACATATAGCAACTAAAAATATATTTGAAATTTCAGTTTTCAAAGAATGAAAATAATTATCGCAACCTGCATTTTCACAATATCTAAGCTTTAATTAACGAATCAAAACATAATATGTAATTAAAAAGATTCAATATTGTAACTAATCCATAATCATTATCTCAATATGCATTTTCAGAAGGCGAACTAATTACAAGTAAAACTTGCTATATAAAAAAAAAAATTAACTAAAAATAAAGTCTACCAACCGAAACAGAAAACAATGTTTATAAAGAATATAAAATAATATCAATGTTTCCTTGAAAGTGTCATCATAAAACAAAATGGTGATATAGTATTCAA